GCAATTGAACTTTGAACTTCGGCCATGGAAAAATATGAATCGGACTTTGCCAGTTGGTGCGTTCTTAAATTCATATGAAAGCAATCTTGATTAATTGGAAAAGAATAGACTTGCAAAAAGATGTCTCTTTAAAGTATGTGGACTGCAAGAAAAGGGGCTCCTGAATATGTGGGGTCCCAGAACTGAAGTTCCATTTAACCCTTATGGCTTCAGTTTAGAAAACTGCTGAACAATGTACTATATTCTGCTGTTTTCTCATAGAGTATTCTCAGCATCATTGACACAGAAAGAAGACACAGAAAGGTAGTAGGGACTTGTTTACTTGAAGTTTCAAAAGGCTTCTGAAAAGGACTACTTATCAAGTAGTCTGGGCAAGCTTAGTAGTCTTGGAGATAAGAGAAAAGATTCTTTTTATGGATCAATAACTGATTAAAAATAGAAAGCAGATAGGAGGAATATGTGGGTGATTTTTTGCAATGAAGTGATGTAAACAGCAGACACATTCCCCCAAGGATCCATACTGGGAATGATCCTCGAGTACTTCTTCATACATGATTTAAGGAAAGAGGTGAACAATGAGGTAGACAGGGTTGCATACACTGAATTATTTAGGCTGGTTATACAAAATTGGCTTGGAAAGAAATCCCAAGCCTTCTCTCCAATGGCAACCATAGTTCAGAGTGTAATATGTGATGTAAAATCATAGCTTCATGTATGCACTAATGGGGGCTGAGCTGGTAGAGTTGGGCAGCGAAAGAAATCTCGGTTTTATGAGGGATAACTTAAGTAGTTTTTTTAAAGAAACAAAAACAAAGGCTAGAGTTCAGTATCACCCATCCGTGTGTGTGTGTGTGTGTGTGTGTGTTGTGTTGTGTGCCTTTCATTATGGTGACCCTAATGCAAACCTATCACGAGGTTTTTTTGCCAAGATTTGTTCAGATGTTTGCCATTGCCTTCCTCTGAAGCTGAGAGCATGTGACTTGCCCAAGGTCACCCAGTGGGTTTCATGGCCTTGCTGGGAATCGAAACCTGGTCTCCAGAGTCATAGTCCAACACTCAAACCACTACGCCTTGCTGGCTCAGATCCATATTCACAATCCCTTCATACTCACAACCAGGGCACAAAATTAACATGATCATAACTGCTCTCCGAAATCTATTTTACTAGGCATCAGCTGCATGTAAAGGAGAAGGAGATCCATTGTGCTGGTTGTCAGGGCATGGGTGGATGATGCTTCTACTTTTTTCCTGTCAGCCAGCAAGACTGCAACAATCAGAAGCAAGACACTTGTTGCACTTCTGTGTCACAGCTTCACTCATTGGTTGCAGGGGCGGTAGTGGAAACATCATCCACTCATGCCCTGATCCCCAGCAGAATGGACCTCTTTCTCTTGGTGCAAGTGATGCCCAATAAAGTAAGTACGGGGGGGGGGAGTAGGTCAGCCCGGAAGATTATATTGATTTATGCAAAGGTAACTAAGGTCTAATATGCACTTCAGAAATAAGGCAGTTTGACACTGCTTTAACTGCCATGACTTGATGCTATGGAATTCTGGGATTTGAATTTTGAAAGGTATTTAGTTTTCTCTGTCAGAGAGCTCTGGTGTCACGACCAACTACAAATCCCAGGATTCCAAAGCATGGAGCCATGGCACTTAAAGCAGTGTACAACTGCATGATCTCTGCAGTGCAGATTAGCTCTAAGCAGTACATGTAGAATACTGGCCGTAATGCCTTGGTTTGTGGAGGGGGGGGATTGGTTTAAAAGTATTTCTGCTATTTTGTGGTGTGTAAGCCAGTTTCAGAGAAGCAAAATTTGCCTCTAGTCCTACAGAAGCTGCTTAATATTTCAAATGAAAGGAAAACTATCTCTTGAATATTGGCACCTTAGGCTCTTTTAATTTTCAAATTAATTACATTTATTTGGTTTTTATTAAATCATTGGTTTTTCTGTGATAGCTGATTCGCTGTGTTATTTATGAAATGTCTCCATGAGATGTTGCTGCAGTTAGTTGGGGATCTTAATCAGTCACTCCCTTCATTCTTAGATCATTTTCTGTCAAAATAACCCTTTGATGAAATGCAAAGTTGCTTCATCTGCTGCCCACACACACCTGTATAAAACATCGTCTCCCAAAGATGGAGTGACACTCTGTGGCAGAGATGTCACTCATTCACTTCTGAAAGACATGTGATGGACACAACTGAAGGGGAAGGTCAGTGTCTCCTTTCAAAATGTGATTCTCATTGTATTATTACTATTATTATTATTCACTTAGCAGATAATTTTTTTTGAAGAATGTTATGGAGATTAAAACCCAAGACACCCCCACTTGCAATCTAATAGACAGGATATGAAAGACAACCCTCACTGGCAATGTAGTTGTTGTTGTTGCTGTTGTTGGCTACCCTTGAGTCAACCTCAACTCATGGCGACCCTGTGGATGAGACATCTCCATTGCATCCTATCCTCCATTGCTCTGCTTAAGTCTTGTAGATTCCTGCCTGTGACCTGTGAGTCTTGTAGATTCATGCAGTCTTCCTTTCTTTATAGTGGCCTCCACCTTTCCTAGCATTATTCTCTTTTCAAGTGAGTCATGGCTTCTCATGATGTGACCAAAGTATGACAGCCTCAGTTTCATCATCTTGGAAATACTTCCAGGGATATTTCCAGCTTGATCTGTTCAAGGACCCATTTGTTTGTCTTCTTGGCCATTCATGGTATCCTCAGCATTCTTCTCCAGCACATCTCAAATGAAGTGATTTTCCTCCTGTCCACTTTCCTCACTGTCCAGCTCTTGCAACCCTACATGGTAGTAGCGAAAACAATGGCTTGTACAATTCTAAGTTTCATGCTCAGTTGTATATCTTTACATTTTAGGATCTTTTCTCATTCCTAGTCTTCTTCTTATTTCTCCTTTCTGTCTCCTTTCTGATCAATGTTTGATCCAAGGTATGGGAACTCTTTAACTATTTCAATTTCCTCATTGTCTGTGTTGAATTTATGTTGATCATTATTTTTGTTTTCTTTGTGTTCAGCCAGAAGCCTGCCTTTGCACTTTCTGCTTTGACCTTCCTTAGTAACTGTTCCAAGTCCCTTGTGTTTTCTGCTAGTAGTATGGGCTCATCCACAGATCTTAGATAAGGGGTCGGCAAGTTTTTCTTACCTAGGGCCAGTCCGCTGGCCTCCAGGTCTTCTGAAGGCCGGGGGGGGGGGAATGGAGACATGCTTACCTGCGCACACGGGGGGCCCGCTGCCCTCCGCCGCTGCTGCCACGTGTGTCGCTGCCGCCATTTTGTTTTGCAAAATGGCAACCGCGACTCGTTTGCGCATGCGCAGTACTCCTGCGCATGCGCAAATGAGTCACAGCCACCATTTTGGAAAACATAATGGTGGCCGCAATGTGTGCGGTGGCGGCGGGGGTCGGCAGGGGCTGGTCCAAAGGCCTTGGGGGGCTGGACCCAGCCCACGGGACGTAGGTTGCCAACCCCTGTCTTAGATTGTTGGTCTTCCTTCCTCCAATCTTTACTCTTCCTTCTTCTGAGTATAAACCTACAAAAGGTAACATGAATGGGGATGGAAGAGGAAATAAAGCACTAGGTAACTGTACCATAGCTGGGTATTGGAGGTGCCTAGGGTGATTTCCTTCTTGCCTTGAAGTTCTTCTTGGGCAAGGATGGCTGAAGACAGTTATGGGTTGAGTAAAGAACAAAGAGATGGTGCCTCTCTCTGCAACAACATTTTCAAGTTCTTGCACCTGGTTCCAGATTTTGTTTTTTTGCTGGATAAGATGATTGCTTCTTTTCAGAGCCTGATTGCCTATTGATGGCTACAACATGATATGTACTTTATGTTAAGTCTTTCTGCATTTGTGAGCTGTCAGTCTTAGGCTGGGTTGACTGGGCCAATTTTAGTTAAAGCACCACTTCAGAGCTCAGTATTTTAGGTTTTGACCTTTTCCCCCTTCCATCCCCTCTGGGCCTTCATGAAGTAAAAGGTTCAATTTCACAGCTTCTTCCAGAATCATGAGCACTAGCTCAGCTTCATTCCACTTGCCTTGGAGTTGAAAAGCATTGTGCACCCCTATATATCATGCATTTGTCTCTTTAACTGTCAGCAAGGGGGGGAAAATAATGCTTTTTTCTTGATGGTGGGTAGGGAACACTCTGGATAAAAAAGAACAAAAAAAAAGAAGTGGTGATTTTGAAATGTCAAGGAAACCTAATGTGCATGCCCTGATTGATCCAGACCCTGGATAGACTCAACCTGAAAAGATTTTTTTTTAAAATAAAGGAAGACAATTTAATAGCTGAGAGATTACAGCAGAGCGGTAGAAAGGTGAAAGGTTTCCTTAGGGTGCTGATACTAAAGAGAAGGTGTTTGTTCAATGGAGACAGAAGGGTATGTAGAACTACTGTATGTGTGTATATGTGCCTTCAAATCACCTGTAGACTTATGGAAACCACATACATTTCAAAGTTTTCCTAGGCAAGGGATATGCAAAGGTTGTTTTGCCAGTAATATAGCCTACAGCAACTGGTATTCCTTGGTGATTTCCCACCCTGAGTACTAACTAAAGTCTAATATGCACTGCAAAAAATAATGCAGTTTGACATAACATTAACTGCCATGGTTCCATCCTATGGAATCCAGGGATTTGTAGTTCCAGAGCTCTCTGACAGAGAAGGCTAAATATCTCACAAAATGACAAATCCCAGAATTCCATAGCATTGAGCCATGGCAGTAAAAGTGGTGTCAAACTGCATCATTCCTGCAGCACAAATCAGACGCAGCCTGGCTCTGCTTAGCTTCCAAGAACAGCTCTGGTGCCTTAGTATTTAGTGCTACTTTGTTGTTGTGTGCCTGCCAGTCGTTTCGGAGTTATGACAATCCTATCATGGGGTTTTCTGGGCAAGATTTGTTCAGAGAAGGGTTTGCCTTTGCCTTCCTCTGAGGCTGAGAGAGTGTGACTTGTCCAAGGCCATCCTGTGGGGTTTCATGGCTAAGCCAGGATTTGAACCCTGGTCTCCAGAGTCATAGTCTAACACGCGAACCACTAGGTCATGCTGGCTTACAGTTCTGTAGCCTATTTTCATGCTGACGTTAGAGTCACCAGCAAGCCCAGTCTGCTTCTGAATGTGGAATAGAGGGGGGTGGCCACCGTTTTTTTGTTGCTAGAGGCAATAAAATATCTCACATTGGCTCTGTTACTGCATCTCTTCTACCCAACCCTAGGCCTGCTTAAAAACAATAAGGACTAAATTCCAAGAAGCCTGCCTGCCGTGTGCATAATGATGCTCCTGTTGGCAACATTGAAAGAATTTATTGTTCCCAAATAGGTCAGGGCTTACCTTGGGTATTGAGAAAGTGTCTATTAACTAGTGCTTGGTGTTGCTTCTTGCTGCTTAACAATCCTTGTAAAGCCCAGCATTGACTTTAAGCTTCACAATGAAATGATCAACCCCCCCCCAAAAAAAGAACAAGGGAAAGGTTTATTATTAAATGTTTATCACCATTTATTAATGTCCTGCAATTGCTCCAGGAATCTGTCTTGCAGGTGAGACTCCACTTTGCTCTCTGCTGGCAGGCAGAATGGCTGTAATTGTAAAGCTTTCAAGCAGATGGAGACCAATCTTTTTACTTACCTCTACTGTAATTTAAAATGGAGACTCATTCCTAAGCAGAGGCTTGTAGGGTATTAACAGGAGAGCAAATAAGAGAAAGAGAGAAAGAAAACCATAATACTGTAGTTCAGTGGAGGTCATAGAAGAGAGTAACTTTTTCAGATCCAAGAAAGTGAAAACAACCACAAACCAACCTAGCTTTTATTAAATCAAAACTGTATTCTGGGAGTAGCCAAAGAGAAACTTTGGGACCACATACAGCAAAAGACACTATTTTTGTGCCTCACTGCACAGATCCAGATGCTGTAGGTCACCTATTTTCTGGATGTTTCTGGGAAAGATGTTTCAAGAATCACAAGTCTGAGCAATCACTGGATAAACATTTCAGCTCGGAACTGCACAGCTCCCCTGAATTGTCTGTACTTGGAAAGCCCCATCTTTTTCAAGTGCTTTGGATATAAGGGGGAATTTTTGGATCCTCAGATGTATGACCTTAACTGCACATGGTCTGAATTTAGAGGATAATACTTAATGCCATCATCCAGTTGACAGCAAAGTTCTAAACTGTCCCCTTGGAAATATTAATATTTTCCTCATTTGTTAATCTTGCTGTTTTAGTTTAAATGTCATACCTTGTGCAACTGTGGTGGATGGTTAATATACCATGTTTAATTACTAGCAGCTAAACTTTGTAAGATTGCCAGAGCCTGTCGCTGCCTCCCCTATGACATTATAAGGGATCACCCTTAGATTTTGGGTTCTGGTATTAACATCTCAGAGCCTGGGATCGTTCTGACCTGGCAACCTTAGTTACAGACTCCCCTCTGCACTATTTAATATTAAAAACTACTTGCTTTCCAGCACCATGCATAGACTTCAAGCCACTTCTCCCCACTTTTCAGCAGATCAGCCAACCCACAGAGTGATAGGAGCAATGAATTGCACCCAGACTCAGTAAAGTTACCATTCCTCTTTACTCCTTGATCATATATGATTACCTAGCTAGAAATAAACCCTAAATTTGTGGAATTACATAAGATTGGTTTTTGCTCCTTCAGTACTTAATTTGCTGCAGAGCATTCTCAGCTATTCATTCTCTCTCTCTCTATTTCATGAGAATTATTTGATACATCTTCTGAAGAAGAGCTATAAATGAAAAGGATTAGGAGAAAGGCCAGAAAAACCAGGGTGTTGGGAGTTGTGTCCCTCTAGGTTCTTAACTTTGTGTTATGATGACACAAAGGCAGACTAGAAATGGCATGTCACCAATGCTGACTCCAATTTTTGATGACTTGTCAGAAAAATCTACCTTTTGTGGGCTCCACTACTGCACTGCACAATCACACACCCTCCAACTGTTCTGGTTTGACAAGGACGGGCCCAGATAATCTTCTGCCATCCCATTTCCTCAGGTGCTTTTAAAATGTCCCAGTTTCTCGCTCCTCCTCCCACTTTCCCCTTTTGTCATCAGCTTACTTCAGTTTTCTCAAACTGGTTTCAAAATGCAGATATATTTTGGACCCAATTAATTCATTAAGGGAGAGAGAAGAGGGGGGGAAGTCTTGCCCTTCCTAAATTAGGTACATAAATTCCATCTGGCAATGGTTAGCTCACCAATATAATGTCAGCCAGGACCTGGAGGGGTGGGAAACTCCCATATGAAATCCTGAGACCTGTTGCTAAATGTGTAGACAAAAGGGTAACAACTCCAGGTGCTCTCAACAGACCCTTCTCTTCCTCTCTGCAATCATTCATTTGTTTCCCCCCTCATCACTGCCTGAAAAGTGAGCAAGCAAGGTAAGCTCCCATTCCTTCTACCAAATTGCTGGCCCTCTTACTTCAAGGGATCAACCAGGTAGAGTGGAAGCAGTGGCAATAAGAGCGGACATGAAAGTAGTTATATTGTGGAGGCTGTCAGGGAGTGGTGGCGGTCCTTGCCCCTTTGGCCAAGAATTGTGACTTCTGCAATGGCAAAAAATAAAATAAAAATGAGTCGCAATAGTGACTTATGCCATCACAATTTAGCCACAGGATTCTGGCTCAAATATTTAAAAATGAGGAAATCTGTAAACACATATTTTTCAAGATGGCACTCTTGCCTTGAGATTCCTCCTCTTGATCTGAGGAGCAGCAAAGAGGGCCCAGGTCAAGCCTTGAGATCTGGGAACGCTACACCCAACTCATACTGATGTTGAAATTCATTATTCTCTTAATTGCAAGGAAAAGGTGGAATGAACACTCAGACCTGAAAAGGTCATCCAATTTATGAAATAGGAATTGCAGGCACTTTTTTTTTTTACAGGGACACATGGAAATCAGCTGCCCTACAGGGTTTAAGTTAATTTGTTGTATTTCTAACTTAATGCACTGAAGCTTTTTGATGTCTGTAGCACTGATTCCCTGGAGGACCCATGCTCAAAGTCATCAAAAGAGGTCTGATGTCCTCCTTAAGCTTTCTGACCAAAAATAATTCTTATGGGGTTGTTTTCCCCCAAATACTGATGGTTCAGACATTTTACTGTTGTTCAGCTGAAGGACCAAATTTCAAACCAGCTGTTTAGTCAAAGAATAAAAGATTTATGCTGCTTAATAGGGGGAAGTGTCTCAGGAGAGGAACAGATCAGCAAATGTAATGTGTGTGACATAACAGAAACTCATGAGGGAAGAGCTGAGTGATAAAATGTAGCTAAAGAAAAAGGAAAGATACAGACCTGTAAAAAAATTACGGCTGGAACAATCAAAAGCAAGACCACTTTCATTCCTCATGGGTAGCGGCTTTGCACCCTGATCAGCAGCTGAACAGACCTCCTTTGCACAGTGTGGTTGTTGGCTGTTAAGGTGGGCTTGGGGGTTTATATACACTCATGGCAACAATACCACAATCATGACTATGTGGTATTACTTGATACATAGAAGTTATTGATCTGTTGGATAGTCATTTGACCATTGGACTATGACTCTGGAGATCAGGATTTGATTCCCAGCTCAGCCATGAAACCTACTGGGTGATCTTGGGCAAGTCACACACTCTCAAACTCAGGAGAAGGCAATGGCAAACCTTCTCTGAACAATTCTTGCCAAGAAAACTCCATGATAGGTTTGCCTTAGGGTCGCCATAAGTTGGAAATGACTTGAAGTCACACAGCAACTGGAACAACTCTAGGTTATCAATGTGCAATATGGAATGTCAGTCAAGAAGAAGAAGAAGAATTGGGAGGAAGAGGAAGAGGAGGAGATCATGATGACTAATAATAATAAAGGTAATCAGCCTGCTTGGGGTATTGAGAGGAAGGGGAAGGTGGAGAGGACAAGACACTGTCATGACTTGACTACCAATATCGCAACTACCCTGGCAGGAGGTTTTGCACCTGAGCACCAGTGCGATTGTGAGCTCATTGACATGTTTTCCTGGTCAATGAAAAGGACCACCGTAACTACATTTTGGGGACACAGCAGCTATGGGTCAGAGGAGTAGTCATATGATAAGTGTCTCCAAAGCCATGCTTTTTTTTTTATGGCTGCAATCACAATTTAAAAGCTGCATGTAGTAATCTCCCTACTCAGAATGGCTATATAGGACATCAGAGGTGATATCCATTCTTGGAGGATGTGACATGAAGGGTGCAGTAGCCGCACTCATGTCCTCCTGGTGGGCTTGCCACAGGTAACTGGTTGTCCACTGTTTGTTGCAGTAGATCAGCCTTTGATATTATCCAGCATGGATCTCCTTATGTCCTTAGGTGGAATGTGCCACACTTTGCTTCTCTAGAATTTTACACTCTGGTGAAGCTACGACTTGTATGCAATGTAGTTTCTCCAACACTCAGCAGGACTTGTGAGAACAGTCCAGATTTCTCATACGGTTTCCACAATATTTTGTGGTGTTTCTGCCCAACAGATGTGTGTGTTGTGGATTGCAGTGGGAGAAGAAAATCCCATTCATCATTTACAAACAAAAACAAAAACAAAAACACACACACACCTTACCCCATTTTCTGCCTTTCAGAGTTCCCAAGAAAGTAAACTTTTATTCCTTAGTGCTAGAGGAGCACATTTTAGTATATTATAATACAAGTGGCAGAACACATGATATATCTCCACCATGACATTAATTAAAATCTTTTCTGATTTAAAAGGAAGTTTTTAAAAGACATTTCCCAAACGCTTCTGGAAGACTATATTATTTTATGAATGAGATCCAGAAAGCACCTTTGATCATGGTCCCTCATTTGCACTACAGATCTCTGATATTTTATTCATATGGATGTAAAATAAACATCCAGCAGATATGAAAGGGAACCGTATATGAATTAAGTTGTCACCAGATTATACACACTGTACAGCGAAACAGCATTGAGATATGCAACTGAAGATCAAGAAGAAGCATTTTCAAAGAACTGTTTTGACTGTCCAATGGGTTTCCTGTGTTTTATTATATATTTATTAT